CAATCAAATTTAGATCAGTAATATTCATAAGTAAATCAGAAACAGCTCTTAGACCTAAAGCAATAAGGTTATCATCAGAATAAAAAGAAGTTAAAGATGTGTATATTGTTTTAATATAATTAGGATATAATAAAATAAGATTCTTTGTTGGTTCATAATTATGAGTTTCAGTCCAAATACAAGAATTAAATAAAAGTCTTGATAAATCTTCGAATTGATTATTTGGAGCATCATTTAAAATTTTATTAATTGCAAACGGAATAAAATCTTTAGAAATTTTTTTCATAATATTTGGATCTTCTGTTGTTGCACAATTTGCAATTGCTCCAATTAATAATTTAACTAAATCTTCATCTTCAGAATAAAGATAAGATGAAAATATATCAAATATTCCTGTTGAATTAACTACTTGAATATAATCTTCAAAACATAATTGAAAAAAATATTTAAAACAAGTTCTTCTAATAACTGTTCCACTTTCTACTCTTGCAATTACACTTTTACAAATTGTTTCACTTGATGCTATATAACTTGTTTCAGGTCTTTTTAATCCTAATCTAAGTGCTTCAATACAATCATTTGCAATATTAATATCATCATCTTTTTGTAATAAATAAATTGTTAATTCAACTGCTTTTATTATTGTTTCTCCATCTACAAATTGGTTCAATAATAAATTTTTACACATCCAAGGAATTAAATTATAAACACCATTTAATTTAATTATTTTTTCAATGTATTGAAAAATATCAAATGTTCCAAATATTTGAGTATAATTAAAGTCTTCTTCATTACAATCAAAAATTATATTACATATTAAATAAAACAAATTTTTAATTGTTATTGGTGATTTAAATTCTATTACTTTTGTTATTGTTGATAAAAATCCTTGTTTAATAATATCTTTTGTATATTTATTTGAATCTGGAAAACTTATATACCCATTTAATAATTGTAAACTATTTTGTACTAATATCTCATCTTCTTCCATTAAATTTTGAATTATTAATTTAATTATTCCACTTTCTTGAATAT